AAGAATGACTTAGCTATTAAAGAAAAATTCACAAGTTGCAAAGATGCAATTGTATCGGATTTCCACCATTCGCTTCCATATCTGCACAGGAACATCTTAATTAATTTTCTACCTTATTTCTACCTCACTTAACTCACCAGCTACTTGGAGGAGGAAGATAAAACCTGATGCTGTAGTGAAAGGAATGATGGCCACAATCTATTGCAGGACTGAGCCTACTGATTCCAGTGAGCTCTTCTGAACTGTGTCTGATAAACGATGCAGTGAATGCTTCAGTAGTTTGACTGTTAGATTGTGAAGAAGACACTGTTGGTGGAACTAATTGAAGTAAATGGGCCAGGACGAAGCCCAGACAGTTGGAAACTACAAAGCCAAATGATAACATTTAATCCACATTTTGAAATAAACTGTGGCAACCAGGTGAACCCCAGGACATTTTTTCCAACAATGGCCAATCATGTTGTCTCTCTGAATATAAATCAGAGGTATTGACTCCTCTACACCAGTACTGTTTGGTCTCACTGGCATCAGTTCTTCTAGGTTGTAGGCAGACATTATTCTAGGATCATCTTAACTGGAGTTGCCAGGAACTGAACCCAAAACTTTTGTGCAGGCGATATATCACTGTCGTATGGTAGAAGCACGTTAACATCTGTGTTTGTTTCCACTAAATGTTGCCTTTCTTACCAAACTTTTCTCACTGCGCTAGGTTATCTAGTTACTATATAAATACCATATAGGCACGACTGTTCCCTGCCTAAACCAGCAGAGTTTAAAAAATGTCACACTCTGGAAAATTGCCTTCAGTAGTAAGTTTTTCAAATCATTATTCATTTTAAAGGTGCATGGAATACTGGATTAAGCAGTATTCTACTTTAAAATTCAGCCCCTTCTTCCTGACAAAGCCTAATTTTTCTACAGCTAAATATTCCATTTTTTGCAGAGGTCGAAAGTGTCAAAGTAGGTCAAAATTGGATGCAAATTTCTTCACAAAAAAGCTCTCTGCTGCCCCCCCCCAAATTTACACTAATAGCTTACACATAACATCTATCATGCAAGACTTTAGGTCATATAATCACTGCAAACCAAGCTATTTCCTATTAATGATCTTCCTTGAATAGTAACTTAAGTAACTGCAGCACTGAAGTTATGGTAATACAGGATTTTGGAAAAACAAAACAGCCAAGCAAGTAACTTATAGAATAAAAATAAAACGATGACTTTCTATAAGATCTCTGGTTATTGGTCTCTAGATTCTAATCTACAGCTAGTGTGGTACAGGAGTTACAATGCTGGACTAGTATCTGGGAAAGTTGTGGTACAAATTAAGTAAAATAAATAAAATTCCAGTGTTATAAATCATAGTTTCCGGACCAATCTCAGATGAAGCCAGTGAGCTCAAAACATTGCACAATATAACTGGAAGATTTACAAAACTTCAATTGTATAAATCAATCTTGGAGGTATTATCTATTATGTCTTCCCTATTGAGCAAACATTAACAAACATTATCAGTATAGCATTTCCCCTCCCTTAGTCAATTCTGGCTGCAAAGTAATTATACAGGGCCTAATTCTGTCTAGTAACTGTAGACCCATCTAATCCTTTCTATGAGTCAGACCACAGAACTATTTGTTAAAGCTGCATTCAGATACAAACCAACCAACCTCTGTTTGCAAAGAACAAGAACCTGGCTTTTTGCTGTGCTTATATACTGTCTCATTTTTCCCCTCATAGGTGCAACACAGTTGAAGGCTTCCTGGTTTCAGAAACCCCAATTTGCCACAATGTCTTCATGCGGGAACCAGGGCAAATTGCTTCCTCCTCACAAACTTGGATTCTACAGCACCCACTCCAATTTGTCCAGGTTCCTAGGAAAACTGGAGTGTGACTGAATAGTTCTTAAACCAGGAAGCCTTTAACTGTGCTCCACATGTGATGAGGAAAAGGAGAGGGTGAGTAAACGTGGTAACATGCCAGGTTTGAGTCCGAATGCAGCTACAGACTTCATTAAGGAGACCACGTGAGAACGAAGTGATTAGAATGGAGCAGACCATTCTTTTAAACAGAATGGTGAAAGATAATCCACATGCTTCACCAATTCCAGAGATAAGGTCCCCATAAAAGGAATCAGATCAAAGGCATCAAGGCACCTACCTTAGCCCCTGCCAGTTACTCTTGCAGCTCATTTATTCCAACTGGTAATTTGCCTAAGCTTTAAATTCCACCTTCTTACATACATGAAAAGGCATTATTGCATAACGTCTTCCAAAAAGAGCACGTGTTTGAGAAATCAGTCACTACGATAGAAAATCTGCATGGTAAGGATTTCAGTCAAAGGATGAAGAAGTGGAATTATAGGGGAAGTTTAAGGATTAAAGAAGACAGAATGCAGTTTGCATCAAGAAAAACACAAGTTCTTGAACAACCTGAAAGACCTCCCAGCAGGTATATACATAAAAGGACCTCTACAGACTCTCTCCCCCCATGAGATCCTTCCGGGTGGTAATAGCATCTGAAAAGCTTCTGTCTAAATACTAGTTAAATGAGCTTCATGATGCCACTAACAGTGTAATCCTAATCAGAGTTATACCTTTCTAAACCCACTGACTTCAGTGGGTTTACAGAGGTATAAATCTGTTTACGATTGCACTGTTCCCCCCCCCATTATCTTTTTTATTTAAAGTTTGTTTTTAAAAAAACAAGAGAATAAAAAGTAAAGGAACTAGAAGAAAGAAGAAAAGAATTAGTAATATTAGAGTCTTATTGCTATAAGTAGCAGTAATATTAGAATAATATTATTATGTCACCTTATACAATGCTGTGTCAAGACCTATCAGCGTATGGAGAGAATTAGTTCTTTATCAAGTAAGGAAGGGCAGTTCAAAGTCTAAACGAATAAGAACCAGAGCTTTTTCAAGCAACGCTAAAGACATGCAAACAAAAAACATAGTTTAATTGCTTATAAGCACAATATACTTCATAGACAGACCGGTCACTACTCTCAGTTCAAGAGTTTCTATGAAGTTTCTGCAACCGTATCCTACCACTTCAGCTCTAATTATTTTTCAGAGTTATTTAAGCAAGAGCAAAAATCACTAGTGGTGTTTATCCGGTTCGAAGAGCTCTCATTGGCTATTGCTATTCATAATACACAAAGGCAGGGCTATTTTCGGGCAGGAACACACAGGAACGGAGTTCCGGCTGGCTTCAGAGTTGGCCATGCCCACTACAGCCAAAACCTCTACATGCATGGCTACAGAGGAAAGCCCTGGAGAGTGACCCCCGGCAACTCCGAGGTGGGTGGGCCAGGGGGAGTCCTGGAAGGATTGGGGAAACATTTACATGCCTCCCCATGCCTTCCCCAGCCTGTCCAAGGGCCGGCTTGCCCGGGCTCCCCACAGCCACGGGGCGCTCAGGCAAGCAAAGGGAAGGCATGGGGTGTGGCCTAATATGCTAATGAGCTGTGCTGTCAGGGTGTGGCCTAATATGCTAATGAGTTTCTGCTGTTGGGTGTGGCCTCTTATGGTAATGAGTTCCTGCTGCGCTTTTTCTAGAAAAAAAGCCCTGCACAAAGTTAAAATGGGAATTTCCATTTTCTGAATCCGGCTATTATACAATAGTTATTTACACCATGTCTGAAAATCTTATAGTTCAAGGTGGATAAAAAATTAACCAAAAAACTCCGAGGTGGGTGGATGTCTTTTTAAACTATGTTATGTCTTTTTAATGTAACTGTGCTCTAAATTCAGTTTTCATGTTATACAAAGTGTATGCATCTAGAGACGGTAAATCCATAACCCACACAGTTAAACTACTTCAGGTGCTTCACAAATATTATAAAGCTACTTTTTCTGTGAGTGTATGTGAATCTGAACTGTGTTTATCAGGGAGAGCCCTAAAAGTGTGGCCTTAGCCTTAAAGTATGTAGCCTGCTTAGCAACTTCACCTACACAAAGAAACTGATTTGTTTCACAACTGCTGTCTTGCTCTGCGACGTGTACAATTCTGTACTACATAAGGCATGTGTCCTGCATGACCAAGATTTTAAATTATGGTCCTAGGTAGCATAAAGGTGCCATTTAGTTGCAAGCTATTATCTTCCCACTATTCTGCCAACCGAGTAGCAAGCATGCTTGTTTTAGAAATTCTGAATTACAAAGATGGAAAACTTGGCTTAAAACAATGTTTTCACTTGCCTCAATGTAAAGCAATCAATTCTGTACCAATCTGATAATTACCACTTGTGTGGTAATTTCCCAGCTAAGACCATGACATACGTTTTTTGGAAAAATGCAAGTTGTCCACTCCAGCAGCGGCAATCGTCTTCACCCTTGAGCCCCTTCCCTGGTGGCAACATAGTTCTGTTCCTCTTGGCTCAGGAACCTGGCAAATGACTCTCTCTCCCACCACCACTGCAGAGGGATGACTTTTCCAAAAGAACTGGGCAACTGGTAAGAAGTGCTGCCTAAGATTCCAAGTTTGGCACGGGGAATGAAATAACCAAAAAAAAAAAAAAGAACAATGCAGCACTACCGATTGTCAGTTGGTCATTCCTGATGCAGGAAAACAACTGATTTTAAAAGTGCTGTTTTGCTGATAAAAATAAAGATGGTACACCCATCTTGTTAACGCAGCATAATAGTATTAGTACTTGAGATAGATTCACAGAACGGCTGTTTTTCATATTTCCAAAAGGACAGCAAATCGTGCTTCTCAGCATGCTACGATGTAGCCTTCAATCTTTTGCGCTGGGCACAAATTAATTTAACTAGTACCCCAATAGCTTTGTGCATCACCATTTTAGGACTGTTGCATCTTTCAGATAGGATTCCCACTGCATTCTTTACTGGAATCAACTTTTGTCCTAATTTGTTTAGCATCCGGCCTGAGGAACCACCAGGTGAAACTCCAAAGCTAAGTATATTACTTTGTGACTTTTAACTGATCATAATAAAAGCAGTAT